TTATATAGGTGCCATATAAATAAACATTATTTATTATTATTATTATTATTATTATTAAGGCATGCAGTTTGCATGATGCTGGTTGGTGAGGTATAAGCTTTCAGCACTTGTTAGTGACATAACGTTTGTACCTCCTGTGAAAAAACTAAAGAAATAAACTGCTAACATATCTTGGCTGATTATGTCTCGAGTGAGGGGAAATTTAATCTATGATTATCAATGTTTGCATGTTAACCTCAAACAAACTCTAAGAACAACACTAAAACAAACAAAAAACACATCTAACCACATCTACATTGTCCACAGCCCCACACACCTCATTCAGCTCCGGCATTAGTGGTTTGATCCTCCTCTGCTGGTCTCTGCTGCGATTCAGGGGTTTCTCATTGTGCCCTTTGGACAGGTCAGCCCTGGATGCTCCCCCTCTGCCAGAATGGTTCTTCCGGTCATCATAGAAGTCATCAGGTGGGTGTCTTCCTCTCAGACTGGTCACCTTTTTCCCGTTGGCTCCTGTGGAAGGCGCTGATCTTTTAACTGGCTGCCTGGTCGAATGGGCCGTAGACCTGAGCCGCTTCGCATCATGGCTGTCCCCACGTTCGTTTTTCCTTTTGGACCCTTAGGGATTGAGGAAGAGCAAGCACAGTCTTTCAACCTAAACCACTTCCATGCCGTCTTTCTCCTCCTCAAACTATCACACAGAAAAAGAAATACCTTTCTTTTCACTGACGTCGTGTTCACTTTCCGGGTTGTATAGCTCATCATCTTGGTCTGGAGCATCAGTCAATATGTCTTCTAGAACATTAAGCTCCCCATCTAAAGAGATCAAGGAGATCATAAGTATCTGTGCACATCATCTAAAATGGATTACAGGCCTAATGGCTTTTTAAGGACCCTTAAAAAAAACTCACAGACTGGAGAAGACACAACACCTTTAAAGGAGAATTCCACCAGCTGGCCAAAATTTCAGTATAATTAAATGGTTAAGACATAATCAAATGTAATCAAAAGTCATTCAGAGTGGTCTGATGTGAAATATGCCATTCTAGAGGAAGAGATCAATGCCTCTGAAAGCTTCCGCACAGAAAGTTATAGTGTTTCTTACTAGAAAGTACTTTTAATACAATCCAATGCAGACAGATCACTTTATTAATCCCAGGGGGAAATTCTTTAAAAAATTGAGAATTTATGGAGCGTGTTATAACGTAAAAGTCCCCAAAGAAAACATACAACCATTATTTTACCGTTTTTAACGTTACATATAAAGAAACATTTTAAGAAGACACGACTAGGCGTATCCGTGGTTTTGGATAGTAAATAAAATGGCTATATTCATGTTGTAGACATTGTAACCCCTGGTTCCTATGAGCACCACTGTAAAGAAAAGAATAAAGACTCAATAAGTATCTCTATAATTACCCATTTCACATCACACTCTGAATGTCTTTGGTCACATCCAAACCATCAAATTACACAGAAGTTTACAAACACCAGCGAATTTTCCCTTTTAACTATTTGACAAATTACCGTACAAATCCTTATTTCTAGGCCCAGTATGGAGAGTATTTTGATGATATAAGAACTACTTTGAAACATTTTGTACACACATTGCTAACACTAATAACATTATCTGCAATTAATTGGACTTTTTTTAAGGACCATTAAGTTAATCACACTGCCAGCCAAGAAACATTAACTAGCCAGTCAGCTAACCTACACTCTTTAAAAAGCTGGTTCTTCAAGGGTTCTGTAATGAAGGAAACGGTTCTATTTAGAACAATGAGTTCGATATAGAACCACGTAAAGCTTAAATGGTTCCTTGCTTGTTGAAGAGGTTCTTCAGATTGATGGAAAATGTGTTGTAACCTATATGGTTCTACATAGAACCTTTTTGAAAATGGTGCTATACAGAACCAAAATGGTTCTGCTATTTTTACAAGCTTGACACTGTAACAATAGAAGAACCATTTCTGGTGCTATATAAAACCATCTTTTAAAAACCCCTTTACTGAAGAACCATCTTTTTTAAGAGTGTAACTGTTAGCTAGCTAACGCTAGGTCACACAGAACACTGTCCTACTCTAATGCTGAAGAATACATTAGCATTAGCCACGCAACCTAAAGCGTTATATATTATACATTAATTTGCCAAACACTGTGATATACTTCAGTGACAAATTATGTTGGGTTAACCGTAAAACTGTCCACGCTGTGGCTACGGTAGTCAGCGGGGTTAAATAATCTCAGATAGGCAGCGATCTAGCGGACAAAGGTGCAGGCTAAAGGCTAACCGTGCGTGCTAGCGTTAGCTTAGCTTAGCTGAGCTTCTCGTTTTTACCTTTGTCGTCTCGTCTGTCGACGGCCATTTTCGGCTCCTTCCTCTTTTTAACGGAGACTCTGAGTTGCCTCGTTTTGTCTCCTCGTCCAGTGCCTTTACGTTCTAGACGAGGAGTGACCTATATTCCAACAAAATAAATAAAACCGCGGACACGCAGCGGACTGTTTTTGTTGCTGCCTAATCTTCCCCTCGTCTAAAATGGCTGGAGCGCTTCCTCGTACTGCAGTCTGCGGCAGGGTTGCCAGATTGGAGAAAAACACGTATGCGTACTGCCAAAATTATTAACTTGATTAAATTGTAGTAGAAAAATCCAACATTAATTAAATTATGGTCACTTATTCATCGATTTTATTTTTGTAAATGCCCAGTACATTTAATTTACATATTGAATGCGCACACACACACACACACACACATATATATATATATATATATATATATATATATATATATATATATATATATAAATATATATATATGTATATATATATATATATATATATATGAATGTAGGCCATTCAAGTTCTTCCACAGCAAACTCACCCTTTCTTGCTTTGTACCCCAGGGTTCTGTCATGCTGGAAGAAAAAGGGTCTTCTCCAAACTGTTCCCACAAAGTTGAAGGCATAGAATTGTCCAAAATGTCTTGGTCTGCTGAAGCATTACATTTTTCCCTTCACTAGAACAAAGGGGCGTAGGCCAACCCCTGAAAAACAAGCCCATAGCATTATCCCCTCTCTACCGAACTTTACAGTTCGCACAATGCAGTCAGGCAGGTAATGTTCTCCTGGCATTCGCCAAACCCAGACTCAACCATTATACTGCCAGATAGAGAAGCGCAATTCATTTTCACTGCTCCAGAGTCCAGTGGCGGCGCTTTACACCACTCCCCCACAACGCTTGGCATTTGCATTTTGATCTTTAACTTGTGTGTAGATACTCAGCCATGGAAACCCATTTTGTGAAGCTCCTGATAAGCAGTTATTTTACTGATGTTGTGCCCGGAGGCAATTTGGAATTCTTTATTGTGTGATTCAACAGAGGACAGGCACTATGTTCTTCAGCACTCGGCAGCGCCAGTCTGTGAGTTTGTGTGGTCTTCTGCTTTGTGTCTGAGCTGTTATTCCTGCTTGGTGCTTCCATTTCACAATAATAGCAGTTAGAGTTGTCCAGGGCAGATTTAGCAGGACAGAAATTTCACAAACTGACTTGTGGCGAACTGGCATCTTATGACAGTGCATTGTTTAAAGACATGGTTTGATGAATTTGTTGTGGAGGAACTCCAGTGCCCTGCTCACTTCCCTGACCTCAACACCATTAAACACCTTTTGGATGAATTGGAACATTGATTGCGAGCCAGGCCTTCTTGTCCAACATCAGTGCCTGACCTCACAAAAGCTCTTTAGATTAAGTGGGCAGAAAGTGGGCGCGCTCCAAAATGTTGGGAAAAGCCTTTCCAGAACAGCGGAGGCTGTTAAAGCTGCAAAAGGCAGGTTGTGAATTCCATACTAGTGCCAATGGTTAATGCCTATGGAAATGGGACATCCAACAAGCTCATACTTTTGAGATATATATATATATATATATAAAATAGTATGATATATGGTATATGATATATACTGTATGTGTGTATGTGTAACCTTCATTTATTTAATTCCCTGTGTCAAAATAGCCTTTAAGTCATTCCTTATTCAGGAAATATCTCTGAGTAGATCAGATATAAAACAAATACACTTGCAAATCAAAAGAAGGTAAGTTAAAAAGAGTGGACAAACTGAATATTGAAAAAAATACAGTTTATTTATTGAGACTTTTGTCATTTTAAATGGATGTTTTCTTCTTGAAAACGTGCAATTAAAATGACACCAAAGCCTCAACATCTTTAATGGAAGATGACCCTTAAAAAGTGATGTAGATGAGAGCTGGTTATCTCAGGTCGCCTTAAAGTCAACAGATTTTTATGTCATTTTCTTCCGTATCATGACATATTTCTGAACATGATATCTGGGAGGGTCGCTAGGCTAGCTGAGTGTGTTCTCTTGATGACAGGTGGGGGGTGTGGGAGGAGGAGGTGAAACATGATTTCATTGATAAATATTATTTTCAATCAAAAATAAGAAGAGATGGACTAAAGTCTCTCCTTTCATACTTTGATTATTTGATGAAGATTATAGACAAACAAGAATTCTGTCTTTTAATTAATGTGGTGAATCGCACTTAAAATGACCAGGAAGTTAATCTAATAAGGTACAAAAGGTCAGTTTAGACTTCAAGTTGACTTTAAGAGCCATTGAGATGCCATTCATGACAATCTGAGACCATTCGGGGTCTTGGACTAAGAGTGTCTGCTGCAGATTTCTGTAGGACAAACATTACGTTTCCTGGACAGAAGTTTACCCATTTTCACAGTCGCCATAAAGTGTAATTTCTGCCTGTTTTACAGGTCTCTCAGTTTTAGCACTATTCATTTTTTTGTTGAATAATCTTGGCGGAATTATCTATTATTTACAAAACCGGGAGCAAACTGTTTTTTTGTTTTTGTAGGTGCACCTCAACATGAGTGATTCTATTGTGTTGTTTTTGTTTTATTGCAGCAGTTTGTGTTAATGAGAGTGTGTGGTCATAGTGTCTGAGGGGAGGTGCTAGGGAAGCCAGAATGAAAGGAGTTCCATTCCAATGGCCATGCCTTTATTAAATTCCAAGAAAGCACCAAAACATGTTCAATATTTACAAGTGATGAGAACACAAACAGAAAAAGAACAATGAAATGAAATCTACAAAATAAAGAGGCTCAAAGCCACCTTTAACTTAAAAGTTATTTACCCCTTGAGCTTGTGGTCAATAACCTGGGTATTTCTGTATATTCAGCTATAACATTCTTTGTTTGGAGGAGATGTGGGTAAACAGAACAACCCCCCCCCCGGCCCAAACCCCGGTTTCTACTCCTGCTTCATAGAACGGTGCTCATCCCACCTGTGCCCATTTAAATTTCTTCCTTGGGAATTCTGAATGTAAGTGTACAATTTCTTTAAAACCTTCCCTTATATTTCTTTAATTACAGTGGAAGATGTACATATACAGCACATCTCTATAGCTAGATTTGTTGTTGAAAGTGAAAGTATGTGTGAATGCATTTTAACATTTTGTTTGTAACTTTATTCACAGTCATTTCAACGTCAGCTGAATGCTCAGCTTTTCTTTGAGGGGTTTCGACATAGCATGACATGATTAGTCTGGTGATGATGGCTTGGGAGCAGTCATCATCACACAGTTGTACACAGTTGTTTGATATGAAGAAAGCTACAGTTGTCCATTTATCTCAGTATGGCCGTCTTTGTGGAGAGATGTGAACTGTTTTCCCAGCAGAGGGTCCTCCCCAGTTCACCCCTCATTGCTCGCTAGCAGCTCAATACAAGATTCCCAACATTTCACACACAGAGCCAACAGTGTCATATTTATTTCTATCTGATAACAGAGTTACAGAAAACATCTTATTTGATCAAAATGATTTGAAACAGTCAATTTCCATTCCACCAGTGGAATGGCCACTAGGTTAGCCTCCACTGGATGGAGATTCTCTATTGAAAGAAAAATGTATTCCAAAATTATGCTTAATCATTGACTGAGACACCAAACCTACATGTAAACATCAGTTATTTTAGAGAAAAACATCATTTATACAGATTTTTCTTATTATTCTTATTCGTTAGTCATTTATTAGGCTTAAATTTCTTTATGATTCTTCTACTTCTACTATTCCTCACACTTACAAAGTGACTGGTCATATTTTGTTCTATTTTGTCAGTTTTTAGGTTCACTGTCAAGTTCAAGTTTCAACTATCCAGGAAAATCACATTATAATTCAGTATATCTATATATAGAATCTAAAAAATAAGTTCATTTGACATTTATATAATCAAAATTTCATTTTTATTCAAAACAAAACACTGTACAAGATATGGATAAAATCCCTTTGACTGTTGTCGAGAACAGTGAAAATGATTTATAAAACAAGTAATTACTTTACACTGTGTTAGAATCGCTGAGAATCTAGGATTTAAGTTCACTGGCCCACACTGCTACAAACAGTGAAAACCCTGAGGAATGTATGCTGTACATTTACAGTACAATACAGCACATTAGACTTTAAAACCATGTAAAAATATCACAGTAGTCATTAACACAGTGATGTTCATTCAGTTCTTCACTCTTTTTTGCTCTTTGCTGAGGTCCTTCTGCAACATTTACGGAAGAGCCAAGCACACGATTTCACAAAGATGAACGTGACCAGAGCGACTATGGACAGCAAAAAGGCAGCGACGTCCAGGCAGTGGTACTGGTACCAAGTGAGGTCATGGGCTGCCACCCTCAGGTGCTTGGCCCCCTTGTTGCGCATGACAAACTCGATCCAGAAGACAGCCTGGTCCAGCGGCTTCATCGGCTGATCATGGTGGATTCGGGAAAGCCTCATGATGCTCTCTTTGTACCTGAGAGAAGAAGTGAAACTGTGTTTGTGAAGTGAACAGAGAGGTGTTAAGCTTTTTGCGCCAGTTTTAGGGGCAAATCAGATGTGTTCTGTGTTATGTACAAAACACAATCCTGAACATGGGCCAGAGCGTGGAAAAACATAGAATGCACCTCTCTCTCATATGCATGTGCATTTGAAGGAGGATCAGGCAAAAAATGGGTGGAGCTATTGAAAGTGCAGCTGGTTACTCTGCTTGGTCTACTTAATTTTGAGCAACTAGTGGCAGCTGTTTTTTTTTACACATTTTTCTCTGCCACTTAACATAGGCACAAATTAGCAGTAGCATCTCAAAAACATGCTGCTGAAACACTTCCTTTAAAAAGCCTCGAATATGAGCTAAAAGAAAATTTACCAATTAGGTTATTTCTACTTTTAGGATCAGATGCACATACAGTCTTATGCAAAAGTTTGGGTGTCCCTGGTTATGATTACATGATTTTTACAAATTACGTGTTTTGTTGATTTATTGAAGTCAAAATAAGTTACACATCCTCTACAGAGAACACGTCTGCACAGTTTATTTCCTGAATTTAACATATTTAAAAAAAAACATAAGATATGGCATGTGCAAAAACAAATTTAAATACAGGATTTTTTTGTAAATTTTAGTGCACAGTTTCTTTTTACCTGCTGAGTTTAACACATTGGAAACAAAAACATAGAATATAAAATGCGCTAGGATTTTTGCACAGGCCACATTTTACGTTTATATGTTAAATTCAGCAAATAACCAGTGAATATGCATTAAATTATACAGAGGTGTGTTTTCTGTAGAGGATGTGTTAATTTATTTTCTTTTAAAAAATCAACAAAACATAATTTGAGCAGGGGCACTCAAACTTTTTCATAAGATTTTGTCAATAAAAAATTGGGCAATGCTTATTGCATTGCAGAGAAGATTAAAATGATAATTAAAATTTTATACACAGTAGTCAAGGACTTTCATAGCCTTAAACCACTAAAGGCAATCAGGGTTTGGAACATGCCATGGAATGTCATTTCATTTGCCTCCAACATGAGGGAGTTATAGTACTGTTAGGTTTACACTGAGCACTGTTAAAATAATCTTCATCTTAAAACGTCTGCGTTTAGGGAAAATACAAGATCAACTTACGATGGATTGTTAATAACTTCAGTGAGAGCGTCCTTCAGGTCTTTGGTCTCTAGTTTGTTGAATTCAAGCATAACAGCTGCTCCTTTGGTTTTCATGTGAAGCAGATTATCTGGCTGGTCGGCAAAGAGTGGAATGCCCACCATTGGGACACCATGATAAATAGCTTCATAAAGTCCATTCGTCCCACCATGAGTGATGAAGGCCTTGGTTTTAGGATGTCCTATCAGAGACAAATCATTAGAAATCATCACTACAACAAACTGGTATAGTATATACAAGGCCAAAAAATTAAGGTTCCATGGATTTGCTGGCATCGACAATAACATATACTTAAATGTTTTCTACAGAAACCACATTCAGGAATGTAACACCATTCTGAACAACCAAACATGCCATCAGATGCCAAGGTAACTTTTTCTTTTGAAAGTTCAACATCGAGAGTTCATGTTATTTGCTTAGAAAGCTTATTCTTTATTTATACTATTTACAACATTTCCCCTTCTTTGGTCCAGCTGATTGAGATATTGAGTGAGAACTGAAAGCTGGGAACTGAATCATATTTGACAAGAGACAATCGGTAAGCATATCAGTCAGGTAGGCACTAAAGATAAAAAATATTCTAATCTGTTTCATTTCTATCATATAACATTATTTTGGTCGATACAGGACAAATCAGTATTACGTCACAACAACAATGAATTGTATAACACTGGCAGCGCTGCATTGGTGCAGCAAGATTTTACAAGTAATATTAAGAGAACATGCCTTCAATTATCTTAAAATTTGTATGTATAGGAACTTTTGCATTTTAATAATAATTGCACTTAAAGCTGCACTATGTAGGTTTTAGGGATTTGGAGACCTCTCTGGAGGAAATGTGTAATTGCACGCGGCATGCAGAAGAACATTTTGTAACATGGCTGGGCTTCCCAGAGCAGATGAATCTGGTGATTGTGAGCCAATGCCTCTCACTTTTAAATTATTATAACAGGCCTTACAGGACGACTTGCAGCAGTGCAGCCACCTCTTATTGTAGCATGTTTTTTGCACCTGACTCAGTATTAATAATTCTTTGATTTTAAAGAAATAAAAAAAAAATCATACATAGTGCAGCTTTAAAATTAGCATTTTCATATTGGCTGGGCCCTAAAATAAACTTAAATGACAAAACTGTTCTTTACCTAGTAAATCATTCTGGGGAATCCAGTCATAGAGTCTTGTGTTTGGAGCAAGAGTGTCTGGTTTATCTCCCGTATACCGCCACAAGACCTGTAATTAAACACAGAATTCAGAGAAATGACAAAAAGGGAAAACTAGTGAGGCTAGTAAGGCTGTTTATATTGCATTAGCACCAAATCAAGATAATATATAATATTCAGCGGCAATGAAATAAACCATCACAATTTTTGTCCTTCTCTTCTTTTGTTTCCATAAAGAATATTAGATAAACAACTCTACTACATGCAAGTGCTGTGGCTGGCACTTTGCTTACAACATTCAACGAGACAGTACTTGTGGAATGCACTACTAAACTAGAATCAGATATTTTATGTACAAGGCGACGGAAAGTGCAATGGAGAATAAACGCCAGTCAGATTCGACAAGAATCAGCTTCATATCAAAATGGCTTGAAGACCTTGAGACGGCTGGAATACTGATTTTCTATTTACTGATATAAACATTTCATAGTGTAATCTCAGACCTTCTGTGGGATCTGCCCGAGCGCTGAAGCGATGGTGTTGGCTCTCTCTTTGGTGAGGTTCTTCACCATGGAGCCCAGGGAAAACACCACAATTCCATCATCCCCTGAGCTCTGAACAAACTCCTCCATCTCCTACAAAACCAAAAAGCAAAGACAGATACATGGTGGTTCTATGATTGTGTTCCTCAAGAAGCTGAATTAAATGCAACAGAAGTGAATAGTGACATCCAGCTGCAGCCACACAGACCAAGCCTCAGGCTGGGCCGAGGTTGGCCAACTGGCTGGCAAGCTACATAAGTTAGCTGGCTTGCTAAAGTGTTGGTGAAGCAGCTCACGTTAATGTTAGGTAAAAGTTGGGTTAAAAGTTGTCAGTTTCTGAAATAAACTGTTTCAGAAAAGACATGCTACACAGTTACAAAAAGCCGGACAACTTAAAAACTTTCCGTGTGTGTTGGCTAGCTAACGTGATCAGAGATGTAGCTAAACTTAACCACTGTTTGTTTTGAAGGAGCAATTTCCACTAGCTAATGTGGTTGTGGTACTAAGCACAACCTTAACCCTAACCATTTATTTTACAATGTCAGCTATCTCACCACTTTAGCTAGCTAGCTAACACAGGTAGCTTGCTAGCTAACTGACCGACTGACATTTGTCCAAGCTGGAGTTTCTTTTGGCATTAACTCACTAAGGGCAGGAAACTTTGGGTATTCGAATATTACTGGAGACACTGAGATTCTAAAGGGGCAATGACTATTTCTACCCACTCGAATTGCACTGTAGTTGTAATTTCAGTTGATAACCTTGTTTGACAAGGAGAGAGAAAAATGAGTTTCAGTGCTAATTTCTTTCTTTTGTTTCTTGTGTCAAAATTTTCCATACAGTAGTAGGAACAGTCAAGCACATGAGAAAGTGCTATGCATCAATGTAGATTTCGAAATGATTAGGCACTAGATATATAACTACTAAGCTCTACTAATTAGGCTTGAACACAAATATGAACATTATGGGCCTAAAGAATCATTACGCAGTAGCTATGCTGGTGTGATGGATTTCCTAAGGAGAAAATCAATCCTGTCCCAGACTGCTTACGTATTTTCTACAGTACCAGCAGATAAACTCTGTGAGATAAAAGCCTGTAGTAAGGGTCAGGGTCAGCCACTAAACCTTTGTACATTCAACCATTTTCCCAATTGTGTGTCAACTCTTAATGTGTAACTCAAGCATGCAAACGTTCAAATAACAGCCACAATGACAAACTTACTTTTGGAAGCGGCTTTGCAGGCTTGCAGTGCAGCCCCCCGACAAATTTAAAGTTCGGCAGGAACGGTCGTGGATACTCAAAGTCCCAGTAAGTTCTGATTAACCAGATGTCTGCTTTTCCCATAGTGTCACACAGCGTTGTGGGTTTGCCTATGAAGTAAAGGAGCAAAGATGATGTGACACTATTATATCAGTTTCATGCATAGTTACTTAAATGTTTCACATAAAACGTTAGAAAAAGTAGGGCTATTTTTTTCTGCTCCTAATTTTCTTAGTACACTGGAAGATAGCAGCGAATGATGAAAAGTTCAAGCATTTTCAGCACCAACATGAGCTATGAGCACAAAGTAAAACATGGCAAAAGCAAAAGATCCCTTACCCATTACTCTGGTGTAATACTTATCAAACATGAATATCATTTGCAGTTTGAAAATTGCTGTGTGAGCAACGTACAACAGCATGTTCTCTAACCGCTCTATGAAATCCATGTGGTCAGTGAGATGTCCTTGGGTTGCAACAGTGGGGACATACGATGGTGGTGCAGGCAACTGACCGCACAGTCTCTCCATACTGTACGCCAAAGACAGTCGAATAGACACCAACCGGGGCAAGCCGAGGGTCTCTGCCAACAGATTACTGCATGGCATGATGGGATCATACAGCAGTACATCAAAGTGTGATTCCCTAAGCGAAGCTATGAGCTCTTGATTAAGCAGCATCCCTTCACATGCTGCCTCGAAATAACGGTCAAATTCAGACATCATGTTCCAAAACAACATCAGAGTCCGAATCCCAGTTACAGTCTCGTTCATCCAAGCAATGATGAAGTTCTGCCACATGTTCTGTGCATCTTGTTGTTCCATGTTGATCTTAAAAACAACGTATTTGAAGTTCTCCTTTTGCGAGTACTTTATCGAAGGTGATGCTGTGTGCCCAAGAACAGTCACACTGTGATTCCGAGCGACCAGCTCATCCACGATTACACGCATGTTGTGCCAGTGGCTGTAATCACCAGAAACCACCAGTATGTTACCACTGAGAGTCACTTCAGACCCGCTTAGTAGCAAAGCTACCAACGGGAGAAGATGTCTGTATATCATAGTTGCAAACTAACTGACAGCTTGACTACTTGTTGCCTCTGCTGTGAACCTCACACACCCCTGAAAACCTCATCCTTGAACTCTGATTTAAGTCACACTGAACTGGGAGATAGGAAACAGGGTGGGTGTACATTCACCAGACTGTTTGCTCTATGCACCGCCCCTAATAAGTCCATGAACTTAAACAACTGCTGGGGCTTATTAGTACGAGCTTATCATTTTGTGATAATGTACTGCTCCTACCTGGAAATTTAGCCTATACAAAAACTTGCCAGATATGCACTTTTAAGCACCACTTAACACCTTCAATAAATCAAGCAGAAAAGAACGACCACCGCTGGACAAAGAACACTGTAGGATCAATCTATAAAGCCACCATGACAATAATCTTGCAAGTATTTGAAGTTGTCATAGGCTGTTCAGGATGACTGTGGGGAAAGCTGCCTCAGGACTTGTCAAAATGAGGACCTGACCAAACCTGACCAGCTGACCAAATTTTGTTCACATCATGCAAGATAACACTGTAATTAGATGTGAAAAGGCTCCAACTTTGACATAGACTTGAAAAACTAACATTATCAAGCTCAGGAGCTGGACTTCAGCTGAAGATACTGGCTGGTATATTAAAGGTTGATTTCCTGGACAGGGATTAAGCCTAGTCCTGGACTACATTTTTCTTTCAGTAGATAATCCCCATGCACAATGCTGTGTAGTCTCAGACTAGACTTGATCTCTATTCAGTAAAAACAACATTTTGATCAATGCCAACAAAAACACATGTATTCTTTCTTTTCACGATTTAAGGTAATTCATTCAGTTGATCCAGATGGGCACTGAGGTGTCAGTTGGTGCTCATCGTTTCTCAGACCTTTTAACAACCCGTGAATTAATTAAGGTTTAAATCAGTGCAGACATTTGTAAAAAAACAAACAAATTAGGTGCCAAAACAAAATAGCCTAGGTGCTGTGAGGTAACTCTCAAAATCAGACATCGACAATCAAACAATAAAACAAACTCTTAATCCTGGCAATAATCTGCTTCATCCAAGCACTGTTAAGATTCTGCCACACGGTCTATGTATCTAGTTTTTCCATGTTGATCTTTAAAACAATGTATTTGAAGTTCTGCTTTTGCGAGTAGTTGGCTGAAGCTGGCGCATTGTGGACAAGAACAGTCACACTGTGACACTGATCGACCAGCTCATCCACGATTACGCGCATGTTGTACCAGTGGCTGTATTCACCAGGAAGAACCAGTATGTTACCACTGAGAGTCATTTTAGACCCGCTCAGTATCAAAGCTACCAACGGGAGAAGATGTCTGTATATCATGGTAGTAAACTAATTGACAGCTAGACTACTTGTTGCCTCTACCGTCCAGTTCACATAGCCCTGACAACCTCATTCTTGAACTTTGATTAAAGTAATACTGAACTGGGACAAAAGGAAACATGGTGGGCGTACATTCACCAGACTGTTTGCTCTATGCACCGCCTCTAACTTACACAACTGGTGGGGTTTATGGGTACAAGCTGATCAAGCTGGAAATTGAGGCAATATAAAAACTTGCCAGATAAACACTTTTAAAACTCCAGCACCACTTAAAGTAGGCAGACAAGAACAAGCACCGCTGGACAAAGAAAGGTCACTAGACACTGTAGGGTCAATCTATGAAGCCACCATGATTATAATCTTGCTTGTCTTTGTAGTTGATTATCACAGGCTGTTCAGGATGACTGTGAGAAAGGTGCCTCAGGACTTGCCAAAATGAGGACCTGACCAGTTGATCAAATTTCGTTCACCCCAGATAACGCTGTGATTAGATGTAAAAAGCCTCCAATTTTGACACAGACTTGAAAAACTGACATTACCAATCACAGGAGCTGGCTCCAGTTGATGTTACTGACTGGTATATTAAGGGTTGATTTCCTAGACAGGGATTAAGCCTAGTCCTGGACTACATTTTTCTTTCAGTAGATAATCTCCATCCACAATGTTGTGTAGTGTAAGACGAGATTTAATCTTTGTCCAGTAAAAACGAAACATTTTGTGTCACTGCCAACAAAAAACACACGTGTTCTTTCTTTTCACGATTTAAGGAAATTCATACAATTGATCCACAAGGGGGCACTGAGGTGTCAGTCGGTGCTCATGGTTTCTCAGACCTTTTAACAACATGTGAATTAATTAAGGTTTAAATCAGTGCAGACATTTGTAAAAAAAACCAAACAAATTAGGTGCCAAAACAAAATGACCTTGGTGCTGTGAGGTAACTTCAGACATCATGTTCAAAAACAGCAACAAACTCTGAATCCTGGCAATAATCTGATTCATCCAAGCATTGGTAAGGTTCTGCCACACGGTCTGTGTATCTAGTTTTTCCATGATGATCTTAAAAACAGTGTATTTGAAGTTCTCTTTTTGCACGTGCTTGACCAAAGCTGACACTGTGTGGATAAGAACAGTTACCAGTGGCTGTAATCACCAGGAACCACCAGTATGTTACCACTGAGAGTTATTTAAGACCCGATTATTAGCAAAGCTACCAACGGGAGAAGATGTCTGTATATCATGGTAGCAAACTGACAGCTAGACTACTTCCAGCTCACACAGCCCTGAAAACCTCATCACTGAAGTCTGATTTTAGTTGTACTGAACTGGGACAAGGGAAACAGGGTGGGTGTACACTCACCAGACTGTTTGCTCTAAGCACCGCCTCTATTCAGTCCATTAACATACACAACTGCTAGGGCTTATGAGTACAAGCTGATCAAGCTGGAAATTGAGGCTATACAAAAACATGCCAGGTAAACACTTTTAAAACTTCAGCACCACTTAAAACCTTTCATAAATTAGGCAGACAACAACAAACACCACCGGACAAAGAGCACTGCAGGATCGTTCTATGAAGCCACCATGATTATAATCTTGGTCGTCTTTAAAGTCGATTATCACAGGCTGTTCAGGATGACTGTTGAAAAAGTGCCTCTGGACTTGTCAAAATGAGGACCTGACCAGTTGATTGAATTTTATTCACACCATGTCAGATAATGCTGTGGATAGATGTTAAAAAGGCTCCAACTCTGACTTGAAAAATTGACATTACCAAGCACAGGAGACTTCATCGGAAGTTACTGGCTGGTATATTAAGGGTTGATTTCCTGGACAGGGATTAAGCCTAGTCCTGAACTACAATTCTCTTTCCATAGATAATCCCCATTCATAATGCTGTGTAGTCTAAGACTAGACTTAATCTTTATCCAGTAAAAACGAAACTATTTGTCAGTGCCTACAAAAACGTGTTCTTTCTTCCTGCGATTTAAGTTATGCAAGGTCATTCATACAGTTGATCCAGATGAGGGCACTGAGGTGTCAGTTGGTGCACATTGTTTTTTAGACCTTTTAACAATGTGTGAAATAATTGAAGTTTAAATCAGTGCAGGCATCTGTAAAAAACAAATGAATTAGCTTCCAAAACAAAAAGGGCTTGGGGCTGTCTTACCTGTTATTTTGGTGTAATACTTGTCAAACATTAACATCATTTGCAGTTTGAATACTGCTGTGTGAGCAACATACAACAGCACATTCTCTAACCGCTCTATGAAATCCATGTGGTCAGTGAGATGTCCTTGGGTTGCAATAGTGGGCACATATGACGGTGGTGCTGGCAACTGACCGCACAGTCTCTCCAAACTGTATGCCAAAGTTAGTCGAATAGACATCACCTGGGGGAGGCCGAGGGTCTCTGCCAACAGATCACTGCATGGCATCACAGGATCGTACAGCATTACATCAAAGTGTGACTCCCTGAGCGAAGCTATGAGCTCTTGATTAAGCAGCATTCCTTCACAAGCTGCTGCGAGATAACTGTCAAATTCAGACATCATGTTCCAAATCAATGACAAAGTCTTAATCCCGGTGACAGTCTCATTAATCCAAGCGTTAATAAAGTTCTGCCACATGATCTCTGTATCTGTTTTTTCCATGTTGATCTTAAAAACAATATATTTGAAGTTCTCCTTTTGCGAGTAGTTGATCGAAGGTGTCGCTGTGTGAATAAGAACAGTCACACTGTGATTCCGAGCGATCAGCTCATCCACGATTACGCGCATGTTGTGCCAGTGGCTGAATTCACCAGGAAGAACCAGTATGTTACCACAGAGAGTTATCTCAGAACCGCTTAGTAGCAAAGCTACCAACGGGAGAAGATGTCTGAATATCATGCTAACAAACTAACTGACAGCTAGACTACTTTTTGCCTCTACCATCCAGCTCAAACAGCCCTGAAAACCTCATTACTGAACTCTCTGATTTAAGTCAGACTGAACTGGGACAAAGGAAACAAGGTGAGTGTACTTTCACCAGATTGCTCTACGCACCGCCTCTAATCAGTCCATGAACTTGCACAACCCCTGGGGCTCATAAGAATGACCTGACAATTTTGTCCAAACACTGTTTTTACCTAGAAATCAAAGCTACACAAAAACATGCTAGTTTTCAACTTTTAAAACTCTAGAGCCATTTAATACCTTCAATAACCCAGGCAGAAATGAACAAGCACCACTGCACAAACAACACTGTAAAATCAGTCTATGAAGCAATCCCTATACTCTTGCAAATGTTTGAGGTTATCACAGGCTGTTGAGGATGACTGTGGGAAAGGTGCCTTGGTACTTTGCAAAGTGAGGATTTGGCTAGTTGACCTAATTTTGTTCACACCATGCCAGACAATGCTATGATTAGATGAGAAAAGGTTTCAACTTTCACACAGAATTGAAAAATTTACATGAACAAGCACAGAAAATTGACCTAAACCGAGGTTACTGGCTGGTATATTTCCCAGAGAGGGATCAAGCCTATTCCTGGACTGCATTTTCCTTTCTGTAGATAATCTCCATCCAAAATGCTAAATGTGTAGTCCAGGACTTCGTGTCAGATCCCCTTAAAAAACACACATTCTTTCTTTCCGCAATTTAGGTTATGCAAGTTCTTTAATATGGTTAATCCAGATGAGGGCACTGAGGTTTCAGTTGTTGCCCTTACTTTCTCAGATGTTTTAATAATATATGAAATAATTCAGGTTCACATCAGTGCAGGCATCTGTAGAAAAAAAAAAAATAGCTGCCAAAACAAAAGAGGCCTACCTTACCCATTTTTTTGGTGTAAAACTTATCATACGTTGACATCGCTTGCAGTTTAAATACTGTAGTGTGAGCAATGTACAGCAGCACATTCTCTAAGCGCTCTATGAAGTCCATGTGGTCAGTGAGATGTCCGTGGGTGGCAACAGCGGGCACATATGAAGGTGGTGTTGGCAACTGACCGCACAGTCTCTCCATACTGTATGCAAAAGTGAGCCGAAGAGACACCACCTGGGGCAAGTCGAGGGTCTCTGCCAATAGATCACTGCACAGCATTATGGGGTCGTACAGAAGCATGTCAAAGTGCGCCTCTCTAAGTGAAGCTATGAGCTGTTCGTTAAGGAGCATTCCCTCACAAACTGCCTGAAGGTAACCCTCAAATCCAGACATCATGTTCCAAAACAAGGACAAAGTCTGACTCCCAGTGGCGGTCTGATTCATCCAAGCGTTGACGAAGTTCTGCCACACATTCACTGCATCTTGTTGTTCCATGTTGATCTTAAAAACAATATATTTAAAGTTCTCCTTTCGCATGTGATCGACCGTAGGTGAGGCAGTATGCACGAGAACAGTCACAGTGTGATTCCGAGCGACCAACTCATCCACAACTGCACGCATGTTGTGCCAGTGGCTGTATTCACCAGGAAGCACCAGTATGTTACCACTGAGAGTTATTTCAGGCCTACTTAGCAGCAAAGCCACAAAGGGGAAGAAGTAGCTTTTTACCATCATATCTGACTAAAGCAAAGCTAGACTACTTGTTGCCTCTACGGTCAACCTTGCACATCCCTGAAAACGTCATCTCTGAGCTTCCTGATTTTAGTGATACTGAACTGGGACAAAGGAGAAGGGGCGGATACACTGTCACCAGATTGTTTGCGCTACACTCTGCCTCTTATCAGTCCATGAACTTGCACAAACCCAGGGGCTCATAAGTACAAGCTGATCTTTTTTCCAAGCACTGTTCCTATCTGGAAATTGAGGTTATATAAAACCTTGCCAGAGTTGCCAAGCACTTTTAAAACTCCATCACCACTTGACAGCTTAAATAAATTAGGCAGAAAAGTACGAGTACCACTGGACAAAGAACATGGTAGGATCAATCTATGAAGCCACTGTAACTATAATCTTGCAATTGTCTGAAGTTATCACATGCTGTTAAGGATGACTGTGGGAAAGGTGCCTCGGGACTTTGCCAAGTGAGGATTTGATCACACTTTGTTCACACCGTGCGTGCCAAATAACGCTGTGAATAGATGAGACAAGGCTCCAACTTTGACACAAACTTGAAAAATTTACAATACCAAGCACAGAAAAAGGGCTTAAACTGAGGTTACTGGCTGCTAAATTAAGGGTCGGTTGCCAGGATATGGATTAAGCCTAGTCCTGGACAATATTTTCTTTCTGTAGATAATCTCTATCCAAAATGCTGTGTGGTTCAAGTCTAGGTGTCAGCTCCTTCAAAAACACACATTCTTTCTTTCCCCAATTTAGGTTATGCAAGTTCTTTAATACAGTTGATCCAGATGAGGGCACTAGGGTTTCAGATGTTGCACTTGGTTTCTCAGACCTTCTAACAACATGTGAAATAATTTGGTCCAAATCAGTGCAGGCATCTGTATAAAAAAACAAATTAGGTGCAAAAATAAAAGAGGGCTTTGTGCTACCTTACCCATTATTTTGGTGAAATACTTTGACATTAACATCATTTGCACTCTGAATACTGCTGTGTGAGCAATGTACAGCAGCACATTCTCTAACCGCTCTATTAAATCCATGTGATCGGTTAGATGTCCTTGGGTGGCAACAGCGGGCACATATGACGGTGGTGTTGGCAACTGACCGCACAGTCTCTCCATACTGTATGCAAAAGTAAGACGAAGAGACACCACCTGGGGCAAGCCGAGGGTCTCTGCCAATAGATCACTGCAACACATCATGGGGTCGAACAGAAGCATGTCAAAATGTGACTCCCTTAGTGAAGCTATGAGCTGTTCATTAAGAAGCATTCCCTCACAAACTGCCTGAAGGTAACCCTCAAATCCAGACATCATTTTCCAAAACGAGGACAACGAATGAATCCCAGTTAAGGTCTGATTCGTCCAAGCATTGATGACGTTCTGCCACACATTCAGTGCTTCTTGTTGTTCCATGTTGATCTTAAAAACAATGTATTTAAAGTTGTCCTTTCGCAAGTGCTCGAGCGTAGTTGAGGCAGTATGCACGAGAACAGTCACAGTGTGATTCCGAGCGACCAACTCATCCACAACTGCACGCATGTTGTGCCAGTGGCTGTATTCACCAGGAAGCACCAGTACGTTACCACTGAGAGTTATTTCAGGGCCACTTAGCAGCATAGCCACCAACGGGAAGATGTAGCTGTTTACCATCATATCTGACTAACGGACAGCTAGACTACTTGTTGCTTCTACCGTCAACGTCACATGTCCCTAAAAAACCCTTTCCCTGAACTCCCTGATTTTAGTGATACTGAACTGGGACAAAGGAGATGGGGCGGGTGCACTTTCACCAGATTGTGTTTGCTCTACACTCTGCCTCTTGCCTCAGTCAATGAACCCACACAAACCCTGGGGCTTATGACAACGGGCTGATTTTTTGTCTTAATACTATACTGATGTCAAAAAACAATCTTAAGTCTGCCTGACACCTTAAAGAAACCATACATGACAATAATCTTGCATGTCTTTGAAGGTAATTATTGCAGGCTGTTCAGGATGATTGCGGGAAAAGGTGCCTCAGCACCCTGATTTATAGAATACACAAGGTCATTTATTGAGGATCAGGAGAACTAGACGGAGAGTCATGTTTCAAGTTTTCTTCATCTGCATTATTTGCCAAACCTGTAATTGAAAACTTTCAAAACAGAATGTGCATGCTTAGCAAGACTTGAAGAAGGAGATCATCATTTACCCATCATTTCAGTGAACAGGTGATCCCACCTCCTGGTCACAAGACTGAACATAAAATCTTGAAAAAGATAAAAAAAGAAGTTTTCCAGTCTCTGAGGGAAACCCATTTGATCTGTGTACCCGAGGGCAGCCCCCGGCACGTAGGAGGTTGGTGATGGCAGTTGTCCACAGAGTCGCTCCATGGCACTCCCAAAAGAGAATCTCAGACTGACGATAAATGGAAGGTTCAGTTTCTGGGCCAGCAGTTCCCCACAGAAAGTCACAGGGTCAGTCAGAAGGACCTCGAATTCTTCCTTATTCCACTTCTCCATTAGATCTTCACGAGCAAAGAGATTCCGGCAAAAGACATCATTCTGCTGGAACATCAACTCGATGAGTCCCTTGATCTTCAGAGAAGCCTGGATTATGTTG